TGATGATACCCAGCTATATCTGTCTATAAATCCAGATGAAGCTAATCCATTACATAGATTACAGGCATGTCTCGAAGACATAAAAACCTGGATGACTCTTAACTTTCTGCTTCTGAATGCAGACAAAGATGCTGAGAAACTAGTCTATGCATTTGTTACTTCAAGGCTAGACTATTGTAATTCTTTACTTAACTTTTTCCCTAATTTGAGTTATTTTAATTTTAATTAGATTATCATGATTTACTCCTTTGGGAATCTTCATGGGCAAGACACTGTCTGGATGGAGTAAAGGGTGGGCAACAGTAGAGAAGCTACAGAGATGTGTGTTACTGCGACTCTGCTTCCTGGTCTGCACCCTGGGTGATCAGGGTTTTGGAGGACTAATAAATTTGGCCAGATTCCTAGAAAGAAGAGCTGCACTATCCAAAGTGGGATGGATGCCGTCTCTCAGAATCAGACCAGGCTTTCCCCAAAATGATTGACAATTATTAAAGGGGAATGCCATTTTTTTTTACATTTGGCCCTTGATTTTACGTTATTACTGTCATGATGGGTTTCAGAAAAGCCCAGTATGCAGAACACCACGGAAGCAGATGAAAAGTTTAACAAGTTTATTTGAACATAAGCACATGGAATTAACACAGGAACTGGTTCAGGCCTGGGAGCAGGTTCACTGGAGTCTGTGAGGATGACAGTTCAGTTAGCTTGGAGGCAGATGAATTTGGATTTGAGAGTTTCAGATTTATACCTTGAGGAGTCCGGGTTTTGGCTTTGAGAGAGGAACTGTTAGGTCCAGAGACTGTTTAGTTCAGCAGAGTTCAGTAACCGCTTCAGCGTCTTGCTTCTAGCGTGAGAGCAGACCTTGGCTTTGGGTTTCCCGCTCTTAGTCCAGAGCAGCATGGGAATCCAGAGAAGAGTCTTCAGGTTTGGCTCAGAGGGCAGGCTCGGCAGGTTAAGCTCATCCAGAGCTTACAAGGGAAACAGGATTCCTGTAAGCAGAGAAAAAGAGGCATTAGAATCCAACCAGGAGACAGAAGCAACGAAGGTTCTCAGAAGAAGCTAGGCTCACGTGCTAACCAAACTGGATAAACACTGCGGCGTTAAGGCAAGGTCTGAAGGCCGGTTATATACTGCAGGATCCTCTAATGATGAGATGCGCCTCAGGTGTGTCGAAGGCTCAGCTCAGGAGGATCCACGGCAAACTCTGCTGGAGAAAGGTGGAACTTCTCCAGATCCCAACAATTACATCATGTTCCACTCACCCATATGAGTTTTGTGTCAGTTGGAGAATTCTGAAGATATTCCATTCGGTTATAACGTCTTTCTATGAGCAATCGACTTGAAGGCACAAACTAAACTGTTCATAATTATTCTTTATGGTATGCCAGCATTCATAACATGTAGGCGAATCATTGTCCCCCAGACATCTGCGGTTATATTTTTTATATTTATATCTTTTAAAAACAAAGTGACGCTGTACGACGCTGTAGTTAAATAAACGCTTTGAACTTTCTGCCTGTCTGTCTCACCTTGAATATTGGGTCCCATGTTCTGAGTAATTTCATAGCTACCAAATCAATGGCTTACATTCTTATGGATATTACTTGTCAAACAATGCAGTGATATTCAGCTTATTATTAAAATTGATTGAAAAGTTTTTTATCAGCGGAATCCCGGCTGATTGCATTTAGCCTTTGACCTGCAGCAATACCTGATAATAAGGATGCATGTGAGGAAAGGAATAAAAAACTACCCTTTTTCAAGAACAAACCTCCAATAAAACACAGCTTGGTGTGAAATGTTGCCATGACTGATTGTTGATTTTAAGAGGACAGAGTATAGATGCAAAAATAAAAAAAGATAATTTATTCCAATTCTGTTCCAATCAGTTGTTATCATTAAAATGCCTTATGTTTTCAGAAAAATGTCCAGAGCTTTAGTCCAGAACCTGTGTGACATTTGGAGCTTTAAAACCGATTTTAACACCCACAAGACACCAAGCTTGAGCAAAAAGTTACCACGTTTTACTTTTTAGCCTTCTTGAAAAGTTTCTTCTTTTCACTCTAAAAACAAAGTTTGTGAAAGAAGTCTGTTGGGTTTCTTTCTGTTTTTGCCTCCAGGTAAACCTTTTGACCCCACGATCCTTCTTAGTCGCACAGTGTCAAACGTAATCTGCTGCCTGGTGTTTGGCCAGCGCTTCAGTTATGAAGACAAGCAGTTTCAGAACCTTCTCAGTTCTATATCTAAGTTCATCAGGTTTAACAGCAGCCCTTCGGGTATGGTAAGTCTGAGGTATTCCTTTAAATGTATTTTGGAACCTGTATTACAAGATATATGTTACAAAAGTGTTTGTTTTTAAAAGTATACACAACCTTTTCAAAAATACCTGCTGAAAGGTCTAGACCAGGGGGTAACCAATTAGAAATCAGTGAGGTCCAATAAAGAAAATCATCATCCAGTAAAGGTCTGGAGACGTTTTTAATTATAATCTATTACTTACGCAAAATTTAACACTAAAATAAAATAAGGTTTTTATGCCTCCATCTTATACATTGAATTTAAAAAAAAAAAGAAAAAAAGAAGGAAAATGTTTCCATTTTAAAATCTAAATGTTTTTTGAAGTAGAGAACAACAATCGTTCAGTTTGGTATATAGACAATTTGCTGATTCACATCTTTTATAAAACACCTCAACTGACCGTTTGTTATTTTTTCTTTTTTCTGGCTTAATGAGAGCAGTGGGCTTTATGCTGCCCTGCAAGGCTTTCAACCTGGGTTTGAATGGCAACAAAGCAACTCTTAAGCACAAATCAAGGTCCTCATTCGTGAGCCTGGATCCATATTTATTTTTGATTCTGTTCATGGTGGA